AGATCTGTATTTCTATGAATAACAGAGAGTGAATGTTTCTTAATTTAAGCCACAAAAGTACATTAGTTCTCCTGGAAGGGCCAGCCATTCTGTTCTCATTTTAAAGAGCCCACTCTGAACTATACTACTTAAAAATATTTTATTGTTGTACAGTTTACAAATAAAGAACTGTGTTATGTCCAAACCACAGTGTTTCAGGATTATGACATTTTTCAGACACATCAGGTGCCCAATGTCCTCAGATGTCTAAGGGCAAAAAGCCTTTGCCTCACCTCTGAGTTATGTTTACTCATACCACAAATGTGATCATGCTGTAGGAGAAAGGCCACAAGCCCTGGAGTCACAGAAGCCTCATTCAAGTTATGGCCCTGACTCATATGAACTCTGGGACCTTGACCAAGTGCTAGTAAAGGATTGAATTTGCTAATCTCCTAATAAATATAACTATGCTTTTACAGCTTTCCTCATCAACAGAGGGAGTTTCTCCAACCTTAGGACCTTTGCTGGCCTTGAGACTTGCTTTGACAAATAAAATGTGGTAGAAGCAACAGTCTTGCAGCTTCTGTCTTCACCATCTCGGACTGCTTTCCTGAGACCTCCAAGTGAGGAAGCTCATCTAGTCTATGGAGGAGGGGAAGCCACGTGGGGGAGAAGCAAGGCAGCATAGCCCATAGCTAACATCAAGTGCCACAAACACCACAAAGGCTCTCTTGGACCCTCCAGCATCTTGAACCTGGGCAAAACCAGCAGAGGGACCACCCTGCCAAACACTACAGAATCATGAAGAAGTCATTACAAATAAACTTCCTTGTGAAATAGAAATAGACTCACAGTTGTAGAGAAGAGATTTGGGGTTGTCAAGTGTGCAGGGTGGGGGGGCGGTTTGAGGAATGGAATGGGAATTTGAGGTTAGTAGATGCCAACTAGTATATATAGGATTGATAAACAAGATCCTACTGTATAGCACTGGGAGCTATATTCAACATCCTGTGATAAACCATAAAGGAAAATACATGTGTATATGTATATATATATATGTGTGTGTGTGTGTGTATCTGAATCACCTTGCTGTATACCAGAAATTAACACAGCATTGTAAATCAATAAAAAAAATTTTTTAAGGAGTCATTGTTACTTTCAGCCACTAACTTCAGGGAAGTCTGTTACCTAGCAAAGACTATATTTCCATTTCCTCATTCAAATAGGACAATAATGCCTATCCAACTCTTCATTTGTTTATTCAAGAGAGTTAATGGCTTACTACATACAATCTATAGAATATATAATCATATAGAATTGAGAATCAAGTGAGACAATGGATGTTAACGTACTTGGTAACATTAATTTTATTTTTGTTACTAACACCTCCTTTCATGGAGCTCCCATGTTTCTTAAACTCTTAAATTTCACTTTGATCTTCTCAGAGGATCAAATAGCATTGTTTTCAGCCCTCTCTGATGGAGCTGACCCTTCACACCTGCCCTTCCTCTACCTACTCTCATTAGCAGAGAAAATCAGCCCTTAAATAAGGACCACTGGGACTTTCTTTTTAGGGCCCAGAAACTGACTCATTACAAGGAGCCATAAAGCTCTAAAGATGGAGAAACTTCCCATTACCATCCCAATAAGAGCTTTTAAAAAAAAAAATTAATAACAGCTAAAATGTATTGAGGTAAGGTACTGTTTTTTAGTGAACTGTAGCTGGACTCAACAGCACTCTGGGGTAGGTGGTGTTATTACCGCTACTTGGGAGAAAGGAAAGTTACACCCCAGGAATGGTCATTTTAAATCACTTGCCCAAACATCATGAGATGGACTAGGATTCAACCTCCCGGTAACCTGAGACCAGATTGTGCACCCCTCTCCCTTAACCCCTGCCCTGATCTACTCATTTTTCCACACCAAGTTTTGCTGTGGCTCCCAATACTCGTCTAGAGCAAAGATTGTGTCTTTTTCAAGCTGAGTTCATTGGAGGTGAAGCTCTGTGACCTTGGCCAAGTCATCTCCTTCTCTAGATCTCTGCCCCACACCAGGTAAATTATGCAGAAGGTTAGACCAGGTAATGTAGAAAATCCCTTCCAGCCCTGAAAATCCAGATAGTAAATTCTTCCCCAGTATCTTTTTTATTATGAATTCTGTTCTCTTTTTTACTAAGGCATCTAAAGAACATTAGGCGAAGAAAAGGAAAAGCAGATGCTATAAAAGTGTGTTTATTAACTAATGCAAGGAAATGAAAAGGCAACAGAGGAGATTCTATTTATATCTGCCTGGAGGATTATGCCATCATCTATACAATTTGATTTCTTAATGCATTCATTCAGAGCTGAGACCCTGTAGGGTGCTCTTTAAGCCTGACATTGAATGAAATAATTCAATTAAAATAGACTTGAGGCTTTTGCAAGGCATTAAACTCCCTGAAAAGATTTAAGACTTGCTCCAGGCAGCTTCGGAGCCTGGAGGGCTATAGTCCATAGGGTCCAAAAGAATTGGACAACTGAAGTGACTTAGCACATAGGCACACACGACAGGCAGTTCCAGCATCAACACTGGTGAACCCACAGGAAAGCACAAGATGGGCTCAGCAACGGGTGTTTCTGGAGACAGTGGTGGAGGTGAGTTCTGGGCTGCCTAGAAAGGGGGGTGTCAGAGTAGGAACTGTACCTCAGGGAAAACACTCTGCCCAAAAGCTTCCCAACAGCTCATTAGAGTCTGACATTCATTTTACCATATTGCCCTGGATGAAACCTATCCTTCCATAGCAGGCAGTGAAATTTAATAAATAACTATCATTAATACATACCATTCATTGAGTGCTCTCAGTGAATACCCTCAGTATTGACCAAAGAACTTTTCATGCATCATCTTATATAGTCTTCATAACTGTATGATGTTAATCATCATCAAGCCTATTTTATAGATGAGAAAACTGAGGTGCCAAAAAGTTCCATGATCTTGTTCAAGGTTACACGGCTAGCTGGCTGCAGACAAACCCTCCTCTGTGGTGCCAAAGCCAGTGCTGCTTAGCACTTAAAAATGCAAGTGAATGAGAAGAACATCATTCAAAAAGTCATGTACCACAGTGCTCGTGTGTGCTCAGCTTCTCAGTCATGTCTGACTCTTTGCAACCCATGGACTGTAGCCCACCAGGCTCCACTGTCCATGGAATTTTCCAGGCAAGAGTACGGGTGCCATTTTCTTCTCCAGAGGATCTTCCCCACCCAGGGATCAAACCCTCATCTCCTGCATTGGCAGGCAGATTATTTACACTACTGAGTGTTCATTGCAGCACTATTTACAATAGCCATGACATGGCAGCAACCTAAATGTCCACTGACAGAGGAATGGATAAAGAAGTGATGCATACAAGCAAAGCAATATTACTCAGCTATAAAAAGGAACAAAATTGGGTTATTTGCTCTGATGCGAATGGAGCTAGAGTCTGTCCACACAGAGTGAAGTAAGTCAGAAAGAGAAAAACAAATACTGTATATTAACGCATATAGGGAATCTAGAAAAATGCTACTAATGAACCTATCTGCAGGGCAGGAATAGAGACACAGACATAGAGCATGGACTTGTAGACACGGTGGGGGAAGCAGTGGGTGAAACAAAATGAGAGCATAGCATTGACATATATACACTGCAATGTGTAAACCAGAGAACTAGTAGGAAGCTGCTGCATAGCACAAGGAACTCAGCTCTGAGCTCCGTGATGGTCTAGAGGAGTGGGGTGGGGGTGGGAGGGAGGTCCAAGAGGAAGGGGATATGTGTATAAGCCCCAATACTTTGGCCCCTGAGCTGAAGAGCCGACTGACTGGAAAAGACCCTGATGCTGGGAAAGATTGAAGGCGAAAGGAGAAGAGAGTGGCAGAGGACAAGATGGTTAGAAAGCATCACCGACTCAGTGGACATGAATTTGAGCAAGCTCCGGGAGATAGTGAAGAACAGGGAAGCCTGGCGCACTAGACCCACAGGATTGAAAGAGTCGGACACAACTTAGCAACTGAACAACTACAATAGCTGATTCACCTTGCTATACAGCAGAAATTAAAATATTGTAAAGTAACAATACTTCAATTAAGAAATTGAAAAATACAAGTGGCATATTATTACAGGAGTCTGAACTGGAGAAGTATGTGCATGTGAAGAAATCAAGACACAGCCCCTTTCCTCAGGTGCATGCAGTCTGGTAAGCAAACATGGCTTATTCTCAGAGTAGCTCAAACTAATTTACAAATGACTGAGGTCAGAGCCAAATTTGAGAATAGGTTTTCACATGGGCAGAGCAGAGAGTACAAAATTACAGAAGAAGAGGATATAAAGCAGGCAAGCTAAGGACCTGAAATCACCCTGCACAAGTCTGCCCGAGGCAGGCAGAGCTTAGCCACTTTTTTGTTTAGATTTTTATTTTGTAGTGGGGTATGGCCAATTAACGAACAGTGTTGTGAGTTTCAGGTGAACAGCTAAGGAACTCAGCCATACATATACATGTATTCAGTTCAGTTTCTCAGCCATGTCCGATTCTGCGACCCNTATTCAGTTCAGTTGCTCAGCCATGTCCGACTCTGCGACCCCATGAACTGCAGCACGCCAGGCCTCCCTGTCCATCACCAACTCCCGGAGTTTACTCAAACTCATGCACACATATTCATTCTCCCCCAAACCTCCCTTCCATCGAGGTAGCCACTTTTATTCTTAATGCGGGTAAATTTCTGACTCCACTTCCAATGTGTGGTTGGTCCTTTCCCACACCAAGCAATTCTCCAGCACCATCTGGATGTCCTACAATTCAACTCAAATCCGATACTGTTTACCCAGAGGTGGCATCATATCCCACAACTTAAGGGCTCAGCCCCACAGACTGCTCCCCACTTCAGACACCAATGGAAAGCCCAGGTTTTATGACTGACCAACAATAATTGGAGGTTTCAAAGACCCCCTGCTTAGGTTCAGTTAATATGCAGAGCGGCTCATAAAACTCAAAAGAACATTTTACTTACCAGACTGCCAGAAAAGACAGGGGTGGAGGGTGGGTGGGGGAAGCATCCCTGTCCTCTCCAGGAGCAACACCCTTCCAAGGCCTCCGTCTTCCCCGGGAAGTTCTCTGAACCCAGGCCTCCTGGGCTTTTAAGACCACTTCATTATGTAGGCCCACTTGACTAAATCATTGGCCAATGGAGATCGAACTCATTGACCATCCCCTCTGCCCTGCTCTGAGGTCAGGGGGTGGAACTCACACGATTGGGTCTCCTAGCAACCAACCACCTACCTTAGGTGTTGCCCAGAAGTTACCATTAATACAACAAAAGACACTTTTAATGCTCTCATCACAGGAAATTCCAAGGGAAATTCCAGTTTTGGAGGTCTGTGCCAGAAGTGGGAACAAAGACCAAATATACATTTATTATAAATCAATATGACAACTGGGAATTCCATGGGATTAGGAACTGTGTGTCTTACTTATTAAGCTCCAGGAAATGTTGGGAAAATGTCCCAACACAAACATTTTGTTGCGAGAATGGAAGAATACCTGATAGAATAAAAATAAAATACATAAAATTAAATAAGCAAAAGAAAAGAAACCTCAACCCTAAATCTAACCTATTCTTAAGAGGGGAAGGAAAAAAAGGAAAGCAGGTGAGGGAATGCCTAGGAAATGGAAGGGGAGAATTTGAAAGACCTGTTGGGTCAATGTAAGTGAGGTCAACAGCTGAAATGACCACCCTGAACCACTAGCCCTGGATTAGGACTTATGAGAACTTGAGTGTGATGAGAATCACCTGGGGAGCTTATTTAAACTCAAGCTGAATCACCCCAGGAGTTTCTAATTCAGTAGATCAGAAAAATGTTGCCTTTCAAACTAATTTCCAGGTGATGCTACTGATGCTGGTTCAAGGTCTTGCCCCTGAGAAGCAACAGCATTCAACTTAATTGCACATTAAAATCACCTTGGGGAGTTTATAAAAATACCTAGGGCTTACCCTTGACCAAATTCATCATAATTCCTGGAGTGGAACCAGGTTATACCTATTTGTTTGTTTTTTAATTAAGTACTTATTTGTGGCCTCCCTGGGTCTTCATTGCTGCATGCAGCGTTTTCTAGCTGCATGGAGCAGAGGCTACTTTTCATTGTGGCGCTCGGGCTTCTCATTGTGGTGGCTTCTCTTGTTACAGAGCCCCGGCTCTAGGTGTGCAAGCTTCTCTAGTTGTGGTGCTCAGGCTTAGCTACTCTGTGGCAAGTGGGATCTTCCTGGACCGAGGATCAAACCCGTGTCCTCTCCATTGGCGGGAAGATTCTCAATCACTGAAACCACCAGGGAAGCCCCTGCCTGTTTTTTAAAAGCAGAACTAGGTGATTGCAACATGCAGTCAAACCCAAGATGAAGTAATGTAGGTACATGTGTGGACTTGAAGCTCACACATCATTAAAACAACAGCTAATATTTGCTGAGCAATTACCATGTGACAGTCCACTGAGTACATTACTGCATGATTTCATTTAATCCACACACAAACCTTCAAGTAGGGACTATTAATCCCATTTTACTGATAAGAAGGAGAGTCAGAGAAGTTAGTAATTTGTCCTAGGCAATAACCTAGTCATTGAAAACCTAAGAATGCAGTTCAGGTCTATGTTTGTGCAAAGACTCCTAATCCCTGGGAGTCTTTTAGGCCCTTCCCCAAGACACTTAATGCTCTGGCCTCTGCCTTAAATCTTTAGTATTTGGTTGAGTCCAGATGCCAACAATCTGGTCTGGAACAGTTGGAATCAGCTTCATATCTGGGATTATATAGATAGATAAATAGATATCTGTATTCATAGATACACACATTAAAAAAAAACAAATGCAAATCACAGAATGGTTGCTTTACTGAATTCAATACTATTAATATTTTAAAATCCAGCCACTGTCCTGTTTATATTCCTTCAACAGCACATAACCACTTTCAAGAAAAGTTCAACCTCCAAATACGGCATTCAGGGCCCTTCACGATGGGACCCCTGCCTCAGACTCTCCAGCCCCACATCCCTCCTCTTCTATTCCCACCAGCCTATTTTCTGTTCCCCACATCCAACCGTGCCCCCAAGCCTTTGTCTGGGCTCTTTTTTTCTCCTTCCTTCCTTCTCATCTGCCTGGAGAACTCGTACCCATCCCTTAGACTCAGGTCAACTGTCCCCTTCTACCCAGAACCCTCCCACCTGCCCATTCTCTGAGCAGTTACAGCAGCGTGTGTATCACAGACTATTCTAGGGTTACTATCTATCATTCTCTACCACTTTACTCCGTTGGCTGAATTTCTAAAGGGACCTTTTTAACAGAATCCTGGCATTGCCCTGAGAATGAGACTTTTCCTAAAGATTCCCCCCAGTAAAAACTATACTCTCTCCATCCTCTGGAGAGGGAAAATCCATCCTCTCTTCCAGACCATTCTCCTCTCTTACTCTGTAAAACCTCTGCAGCTCTGAATCTTGTGTTCTCAGACTATACCACCCACCACCCTTTGTCGCCACAGTCCTTCTCCCAGCATCACCCCTTTTATTCTTTGAATACTTAGCTCCTGGCTTACTGTCCGTCTCTGTAATACCAGATCAGTCCTAATTACTGATGATTCTGGTATCTACATTGTTGACCCTTCCAATATCCTGTTCATGCAGTTCCTTCATTTCCTCACCTCTGATGAGCTTGGTCTCTATGCCACTCCACCAACCTCTCCCAGGGTCTCACCCCAGACTCTAGACCTTGTCATTACCAATCACTAAAACCCCTCCAAAATCTCAGCTTTCAAGCATCCCATTCTCCAAGTGAGGATGTGGCATGGGGGAGGAGGAGGGACAGAGAACAGAGGCTTAGGTTTCCTGCCCATTGTGATCCTTGCTCCCTCTCGCCCAATCCCCTGGCCTCCTCTCACTTTGTCAGACTCTGCTCGGCTAAAACACACGTTTCTCAGCTAAAACCAAGTCTCTGCCTGCTCTGTCCCCACACACCAAGAGCTGAAAGGGGCTAGAGAACAATATAACCACGCCGACTGATCGCTGTCAAGTCATGACCGAGAACGTCAGTGGCTCCCGTGGCTAGTCCACTCACACTGAGAATTCTTTCATGCTTCTGCTCCTCCCTGCAAACCACAAGTCCCCATCCCCATTTTCAGCACTTGACTTTGCTTCTCTAAATCATTAGAAAACAGAGGCAATCAGATAAGAACTTCCACAGATTCCCACCCCATTTCACTCAGGTGCACCCACGTTCTCACCACCCTCCTGAGGTCATGGGGCAGGGTTCCAGAGACCTTTCTCTGGCCACCCAGGGATTCCAGAGGCTGCAGCACCACTAGAGTGAGCCAATTCTCTTCTCTCCTTGTGCCACATCCTCCCTAGATGGGGAGATGCCACCAAGACAGAATAAACTGTGGTGGGGGTGCACATCTCTTTTATTTTGTTAAATTGGAAATTTAAATTATTCTTTTGTGCTTTGTACGAAAGTAGAGGATAAAGCCCTTGATGTGCAATTATTTCAACAAACAAAAGGCTGGGTATCCCTGTATTGTTCCTTCAGTGATGCCTATTTATCTGGCTTCTACTTATTTCAAGTACAGTGACCCACAGAAGACAAATAAAATAGGATTTGAAGATTTGAAATCCTTAATGTGTTGTGTATTTACTTGGATTTACAAAGACCAATTGTTCAACACAATCAGTAAAAATGAAATCTTATTCAGTCTTTTCCCTTGTAATCATCAGAGGATCTCAAAAGTGAATGGGAAGTATGTGTGGGGGAGGGAAGAGGAAGGGTGGATGGGTGGGAATGCCACTTTCTATCAACTTCTTTGAAAAGTCTTCACTTGCCCCAGACAATTTTTTGAAAAAGAGTACTCTGTAGGATTGTTCTCCCCTCCCTTTCCAGCCCAGACTATGGACAATTAAATTCCCACTTCCATGGTTTGTTAGTTAAAGCCACAGGAGAGAATCTTCTTAGAGTATTTCTGTTTTAATTGACCTTGAGAACTTACCATCTGCCTTAGCATTTGCAAGTGCTTTATGTCTGATATTTGAATCTTTAAGCTTCATAGGACAGGTAGTATTGTACCATCATCCCCATTTACAGATTTGGAAACTGAGGCTTAGATAAATTCAGAGGTCAGCCCAAGGTCTGTAACTACTGAGTGAGGGAGCTGAGAACCAAACCCAGGCAGTCTGACTTCTGGGTGTGTGTACAAGGGGTGTCACAACACTTTTCATTTTACTCTCAGAGAGTCAATCCTTTATATTCTACAGTCCATTTGGAAAAAGGAAGGAAGGGGGCAGGGCACAACTTTTAAAAGAATGACATAACCCAAGGATACAACATAAACCGATTAGAATCAAATGGGTCCAAGATGGCGGCCAAGTCCACTTTGACTAGACCTTGATCCTCAATCAGCAAGCTAAATGACACACCCAGAGGGGCCATGACAGTTCCAAGGCACTATCAAAAGACCAAAAAGTGAGCAGGGATCCAACTCCTAAAAATCTCCACTCCTTCCCCAAAATAGTTGGACTAATCCTCCCACTCATCTGTCTATGAAATTACCCAGCCCATAAAAGCTAACCAGGCCACATTTCAGGGCCCCCACACTCACCCTCTGCAATGGCCCACATTCTGTCTGTGGAGTGTATTCCTTTCCCAATCTGAATAAACCCACTTCTTACCTGACACTTTGTCTCTCACTGAATTCTTTCTGTGAGCAGACATTAAGAACCTGAGCTTTATCATGTCCTGAAACCAGGTACCATGGGTTTTGGCTGGGTTCAAGTCCTGGCCACATGGGTTTGAGTCCTGAACTGGGTTTTGGCTGGGTTCGAGTCCTAGCACATGGGTTCAAGTCCCAATCTGAGGTAAATGGTTTCACACTGGATATTTAAAAGGGAAATGGGGGACTTCCCTGATTGTCCGGTGGTTAAGAATCTGCCTGTCAGTGGAGGGGATGTGGGCTTGATCTTTAAAGTCCAAGAAGACCCCACATGCCTTGGGGCAATGTAAGCCCATGCACCACAACTACTGAAGCCCATGGGCTGGAGAGCCAGTAATTCACAACTACTGAGCCCACACGCTGCAGTTACCTGCAGAATACAGGCTGCAGAAGCCTGTGTACCTAGAGTCCATGCTCCACAACAAAGAGAAGCCTCAGCAATGAGAAGCCTGTGAGGCACAACTAGAAAAAGCCTG